CTATTAGGTCATCCCTCAGCCTCTGCCCTTCCAGTGAAAATAATCTGAGTTTATCCAACCTCTCCTCATAAATAAAACTCTCCAGACCAGACAACATCCTGGTAAACCTTCTCTGCACCTTTTTCCTTTTGGTAGTGTAGCGACCAGAAATACACAAAATATTCCAAATCTCTTAATCTTCTAAACCTAGTTTCTCTAATCTTTCCTTGTATCAATAAACCTTCATTCCTAGCATCATTTTAGTAAATCTCCTTTGAACTGACTCCAGGACTTTAACATCCTTCCTTACATAAGTTGACAGAACTGAACACTATACTCCAAATGTGGTTTGATCAATGATTTGTATAGGTGTAGCAGCACTTCCTTGCTTTTATACTCGACTCTATTTAAAAACACAAGGATCCTATAAGCCTTCTTAACAACTGTGTCAACCTGCTTGTCCACCATCAGAGAATTATGCACGTGAACCCCAAAGTCCCTCTGCTCCTGTACTCTCTGAAAGTTGTACCATTGACCCTGTATTGTCCGTCTTTCTTCTACCAAAATGCATTACGTCGTATGTCTGCATTGAAATTGATCTGCCAGGTGTCTGCCCATTTGGCCAACTTGTCAATGTCCTTTCGAAGCTGCTCAGTGTCAGTGTCATTGTCATTCTCATAATTCACTATTTTCCCTACTTAGTATCATTGCAAATTTAAGAGATTTTGCCCTCAACACCCATCTCCAAATTGTTTATATAAATCAGAAAAAGCAAGGCACTCATAACACCAATCCCTATGGAATGTCACTTTCAAATAGTCTCCAATCAGAGAAATGCCTTATCAATTACCCACCTACTGTTTCTGATCTTTCACCAATTTCTAATGCATGCTACAAAGGACCCATCAATCTCAAACAGTTCTAATTTGCTAACTAGCTTGCCATGTGGCACCCTACCCAATGCTTTCTCAAAGTCCAAATATACAACATCCACAGCACTATCCTCGTCCACTGCTTGTATCACCTCATGAAAGAACTCAATTAAATTGATCAGGCATTACTTGGCCTTGACAATGCCATGTTGACTGTCTAGGATTGACTCATTTCCTACTTGCAGGCCTAGAAAGGAACTAATAATCCCACTTCCTCTATGCCTTTCACAGTTTGGCTAAATTGAAATCCACTATTACTCTATTGTTACACTTCTGAAATCGGCCTACGTCAGTCTTTCTCTCTTCCTAACTGTTTGGGGATCTCTTACACTCCCAAAAAATGTTTTTTTTGTTTTTAGCTTCTATTCATATGGCCTCAATTGAGGAGGCCTCTAAGGTATTATCCCTCTTTATTGCTATAACTGACTCCTTTTATCAATATTGCAAAACCACCTCCTCTTTTACACCCCTCCCTGGTGCCACCCAAAGGTTCTGCTGGCCAAAATATTGACCTGCCAATCTTGTTTCCGCCCCCCAACCGTATGTCTGATGGCAATGATAGCATATGCCTGTGTGTTAAACAGTACCTTCAAAATCATCTGTCTTACTTGCAAGCATTGAAATAAAAGTTCCATCCATTCTTGATGCACTCCCTTGTATCTTGTACAGGGCCCATCTTCCCCAGAAATGGACCCAGTGATGCATGAATCTAAATCTCTCCCTCTGCTCCAAATCTTCAGTCGGATATCCATTCACTGTATCCGCCTAACTAGCACGTGGCATCTAGAGATTACAACTGTTACTTAGCTCTCCCAATTCTTGTTGCAGGACCTCAGTTTGTTTCTAAGCTCTCATGTGTTGTGCGAAGAACTGTCAAGGCCAGCAACTGTTGCCTGTGTAGTGGGGATAAAGCACCTTCTTGATCAGCTGGAGTCCATCTCAAGTAGATACAGCCTCTGGCTGTATCATAGGAGAATTCTATGATTTTGAATCATTGAAATGACATTGAACGAAGAGGGATTATTCCAAGTCAGGATGGTGTGCGGTTTGGAGGAGAATTTGCAGGCATGCTGGTACAAATGCTATTGTTGAATGGCTCTTCTTGACGCATTGAAGTACAACAGACTAGATTTTACATCAGTGATATCAATAAAACTGTTACTGTTTACCATCATTCCTGCTCTGAATCTGACATTAGCTTCTAGAGTCCAGACATGCATGCTTAAAGGTAAAATCCAGAAGTAACTGTTAAGTCTTTTTATGCTCCTCAACATGAAAGTGCTGTTGATGTTTCCACTGATTGCAATCAATTACAAATCACTGAACTGATGAGAACTATTCCTCTTTCAACGAACTATCACTGATTCAAAAACTTCTAAAATATCACAACTTGTTAATGAGGGTTGTAACTGGGTTTGTAAACAACATACAAAGTCATTATGACTTATGAAGAGCCACTCTGGCCCTGGAAAACTAATTTCAGCCTTGCGTAATGGCCAAGGATTTTTTTAAATTCTGGAAAATATCAAGTTCTTGCAATTTTTAAAATTGATATTTCAGCTCATACACTATAACTAATTTTTCTCTTATAAACGAGCAGGATCAATGTATTTACTTCATGTTTGGCTGTGATAATACTTCAATATGATTGGCTACAGATCCAAATAAAGGAAAAGTACAGTGGATGCTGCAGAAACTCAATAGTTTCTGGTTGGATTTCCTACTAAAGCATCAAATGAGACAAAGAACTAAATAGAACTGGGACCCAGTCTTATTAAAGAATGAGGATTGAAATAAATGGACTGCTTGACATTATGATTATTAATCAAGATCCCCTTGATTGGTGCAAGATTCAAAATAACATGGGTTTTCACTTTTCATAATGCCACAGATCACTACATCTTGGTAGGTAAGATAGCAAGAACTGCAGATACTGAAGTCAGAGATAACAAAGTGTGGAGCTAGAGGAACAGAGCAGGCCAGGCAGCATCAAAGGAACAGGAAAGCTGACATGTCAAGTCGGGACCCTTCTTTGTAGGTAACAGGCTTTACGATCGGACATAAAAGTGATATCACTTCCCTGTTGAGTGCAAAATCTGGACCATTAACATCTATGAATAATGTGAGTGAAGTTTATTAAATGTATCATTTTAGACAGAGGCTTTGCAAAAACAAACACTGATCTATAACAGTACTTACAGTTCAGTCCATCACCATCAAATGAATATTCAATTACCCATTTAATAAAGGAAGGAAGGAGTATGTTGGAAAATATTATAACCATGAAAGGCTCCTGAATGTGGTCAGAAGGTTTAACTAGCTTCTCTATCAAATTGAAAGTTTCACTCACTAAGAAACATTTGTGGCACATTGAAAGGACCATTTTTATACTCATGGGAATTGGAGGAGATTTTTATCATTCTGTACTTGATCATTGAAATCATTAGACAATCCTTTGACTCAGAACAGCTTACCCAAGAAATTCTTGTTTCAGATGTTAGTTTATTTAACGCAGCTAGATACTTACAATTTTGATGTACAGCATATAAACAGAGCAGAAACAATTGTCAAATTCAGCAGCATCAATATGAAGTAATTGATGATTTTTGTGAAATACCAAGCCAACGAGCAATGGTACTATTTTGTTGTTATGGATGAATACTTACAGGGAGATCTTTACAGAGACTATGCAAGTGTACTGTCTAAAAACAGAATCATAACAGATGTTTCTTCTAAAAGTCAGTGTTCATCACTGTAATCTGTGAACAGCTTTCAACAATGCAGTTCCATTTATATATTGCTCCAATCTTTGCACAAGATACATTTTCCAAGCTTCAGACAAGACAACCTTTTTCCAACATGGCATATGACAATACTTCAACTGGAGGAAAGCTTTCAAGTAATAGGTTATTCTGCAAAGTAGAACTTTGAACATTGTGGGGTGGAAAAACGAGAAGTGAAAGTGATCCAGACCCAAAGTGTTCAATTAACACTTAGGTACCAGTATACATTGGGAAAACACAGAAGTGAAACCTTTGAAGATGAAGGAAGTAGTTTTGCATTAATATTTAACAATGGGATATTTTAATCATTTTTCTTCTGTCTCCCAACACCATTTAGAAGGAAAACATGTCAAAAAAACACTTTTTTTTAAAAAAATGCAAACTCTTGAAATGGTGCGCAGTTGAAAATAAAAATCAAATCCATTGATCAAAACATTATTTGTCTATTATAACTATTAAAAGGAGGGAATGTCAAACAATCAAAAGACAATCCTCATTTCAGGCCGATGAAAAGAGTTGAAACAGTTGTCATTTAATTAATAGATAAGATTCATAGCTGCACTTTATCACTTTGCAGTGCCTTGCTTTATGTCATTGCTCCCATCCTGTTCCAGTGTGACAATGCAGTACAAGACAACAGCAATGTAAGACTAATCCTCATCTGAACTCTTCCCCCAAAATTAAGTTGGAAAATTCTTTTGGGCAAATAAATTTGAATGATAAATAGAGCAAAAATTGTAAAAGTAATTTCTTCCTTGAATAACTATTAGGAGCACATAAAATAATGCGGGGCAAAATTTGCAGTGCATCATTCATACCTTTTAAGAATCATACCTTGGATATTTTCAAATACATGAACTGTATTTTCCATCATTTTTCTATTATTGTAAATTGTTGAATGCAGAAAATGATAACATGGAGTGTACTAACTAAAATAATTACAGCAAACATCTGAAATCTGAAAGCATTAACTCACTGGCATTACCATCAAAATTCTAACTTTGCATTATGAGGTAAATGATACGTGCTTTTATTGGAATTGTAACTGGCATGTAATGAACATTGATTGCTTCTGCAACACTACTGCTAACTAAACATAGCTAAAAAGAGAGATTGTAATTCATTTTATCTCAAAGTGTATGGAAGCTTCTTCATTTTGAAATGAAGTGAAAATGCTGAAGAACATGACCATATCTTTTGCATGTGCTCATGATAAATTCTTCCACCCTTCTTAATCAGACTGTGCACGCCATAGCAGAGGGAAATGTACTCATTTATGTTGGTGTCAAAGGAAAAAAAACTGCTCCTCGCAGTTGGAAAGAGAAGCAAATTGATTAATGGGTATAGGCTTTTTTTTTTATAATCCCAAATATTTCCTGTGTTATTATAGAAATGCAGCTTACATTCCCCCATAAAGTGCCCCTGTTTATCCATGCCTGGTCACAAACTGCATACGACAGGAATGTGCAGTGTACAACTAAAGCAAACACTGAAAACCATCGTACTGTAAACAGACCAGGAGTCACCAATCTACAACATGTAAATGGCCAGGATAAATGACACATTTTTATCTAAAAAATATCTTGCACAACATTTCTTCATTAAAGACATTAAAATCATGTTAGGTTATGCACAGAATAAATATAGAACAAATATAATCTTATGTAGTATGGAGCTATTTTACAATTTTAGTTAGAAAGGTAGTTTTTTTTGGACATATCTTTTGCAGGTTTTTTTCCCCCTCTGTGCCAAAAGTATTGGGCACAAACGGTGTTTACTCAAGTGAATATTTATTCGGTCCTTTGGGCAAAGTGGAAGCTTATCACCTGAATCTCTACTCAACTCCATGGTAACGTGTAGGTGGCATTGATTCTGCACATATACGTCAAAGGTGCAGTGCTATTGGAGGTCAGAGGTCAACGGGAAGAAAACCCTGTAGCCATACCACAGCCAATGACTGGTGTCATGTCCCAGATCTGCAGAAAAAGCAAAACAAAAGGCACAAAAAAAAAGTTAAACCAACAAGGCATTTTTTTCCTTCATTGAAATATATAAAGTTCTGAAGGTATTTGATCAGGTAGATGATGAGAGATTGATTCCACTGGTCTGGTAATCTAAAATGAAGAGGCACAGTCTCAGGATAAAAAGGTCAATTGTTTTGGACTGAAAACAGGAGAATGCTCTTCATTCGTAAAGGTTGTGGATCTTTAGAATTATCTGCCCGAGAGTTCTGGGTTGTCAATGATGGAGTATATTTAAGGCCGGGATAGGCAGATTTTTGGTCTCTCGGGAAATCAAGGGAAAAGGCAGGCGAGTGGAGTTGTGGCCTAGGACTAGCCAAGACCATACTAAGTGGGGAAGCAGGTTCGATTGACTGCATGTTTATTTCTGCTATGATCTTGTGTTCTTTATATATAATATTATCTACATTCAACTCCTGCAGGTACAGGTTACAAAATTACAGTTGCCAACGTCCACTTTCTGAACAGCCAGAGATAGGTTTTACAAACTTAATTCATTCCCTTGGATGGTAATTGCTTAAGTAGCTTTCCTAACTCTTACAGCAAGACCAGTTTTTGGATGGTGGAAACATGAAACTGCTTTTGTTCTCCAATTTAAAAAAGGTAACCAAGTACAAGATTTCTCTCTTATGCTCAGGTGGATATATTACAGCAAGTTAGGTAGAAAATATCTGCCGAGAGACAATAATTGTGGATTCAAGACAAATGGGAGTGTACCATAATGTGGAATGAGACTGGACAGGACATTGTCTTAAGCGTGAATCTCGGAGAGTTCAATCCACAGTCGCCTTCCATTGCGGTGCTATCTTCTCTGCCTCACTTAGCCTTGCACATCCACTAACTGAATCACACAAATAACCATGTTGTACAGGATACAATTTTACAAATTTTTATAGATGCACCATAGAAAGCATCCTATCTGGATGCATCACAGTGGGGTATGGCAACTGTTCCTCCCAAGACTGAAAGAAATTAGAGTTGTGAATATAGCCCAGTCCATCCAAAAACCAGCCTTGCATCCACTGAATACATCTATACTTGCTGCTGTATCGAGAAAACAACCAACATAATAAAGAACCCCTCCCATCCCAGTTACACTCTCCTCCACCCTCTTCCGTCGGAAGATATAAAAGTTTGTATACATGTACAAACAGATTCAAGAACATTTTTTCCCTGCTGTTATCAGACTTATGAATGGACCTCTTAATACTAATTTTGATCTCTCTTTGCACCTTTACAGCAGCTGTAACATTATATACTGCACTCTGTTCATTACCCTAACACACTTGTATCTGCCTGTAAAGCATGTAAGACAACACTTTTCACTGTGCCTCAGTATACGTGACATTAATCAAATCACATCTGATATGAAAACTCCAGCCGCCAGTCAATGTTTGTCATTTTGAAATGGAGAACACTGGGACTCATGCAATCACTGAAATGCCAGAAACCGTGGCATTCGTCAAGAGTTGGCTGGAGCTAGACATGATATTTTAACAGATTCCACACAAATAGCATAAACGAGGATGTGGGCAGAATAAAAAAAAACAGCCACCCACTCAAAGTGAACAGTTTACAACTGTGTAATCTTGTGTACTTTAGCATTTCCGCAGTAACACAGTTGACGGAATATGGGGCACGGCTGCAGACCGAGCCATAATATAACCGTGTCAACTTGTATGCTGTGGATTTTAGGTTTCGAGGGAAAATAAGCTGCATTGAGGAATCCAATTTCCCAGTGTTACAATCCAATATATTAAATATTGTATTGAACTTATTCAATTCCCAGGAAAGGTTGATAACATGCAAAATAGGAGCAGAATATAGGAGAGGCAATGGCCTAGTGGTATTATTGCTGGACTGTTAATCCAGAAACCCAGGTAACGTTATGGGGACCCGGGTTCAAATCCTGCCATGGCAGATGGTGGAATTTGAATTCAATAAAATATCTGGAATTAAGAACCTAATGATGACCATGAATCCATTGTCGATTGTCGGAAAAACCCATCTGGTTCACTAACATCCTTTAGGGAAGGAAACTACCATCCTTACCTGGTCTGGCCTAGATGTGACTCCAGATCCACAGCAATGTGGTTAACTCTTAACTGCCCTCTGGGCAATTAGTGATGGACAATAAATGCTGCCTAGCCAGCGATGCCCTCATCCCATGAATGAATAAAGAAAAAAAAAAGTAGACCATTTGGTTCCTCTAGCCACTCCCATTCATTAAAATCTTGGCTGATCCACTCATTTCAAATTCCCTTCCACTCCCAATAATATTTGATTGTCTTTCCTAGCAAGAATCTGTTCACCATTCAAAGAATATATCATGTTCCTCCTTCCCAGGAAGAGTTCCAGTTAGACAATCCTTTCCTGAAAAGGTGACCCCTAATTTTAAAACAGTGCTCCATAGATGTGGCTTACCCACAAGAGGAAAGCTTATACACTTCAAATCAAACCCAGCTGAAACAAGCCCTAACTAACATCAGTGTGGAGCTGGAGGAACACAGCAGGCCAGGCAGCATCAGAGGAGCAGGAAAGTTGACATTTCAGGTTGAGAAGAAGGGTCCCGACCCAAAACGTCAACGTTCCTGCACCTCTGATGCTGCCTGGCCTGCTGTATTCTTCCAAGTCCATACGGTGTTCTCTCTGACTCCAGCATCTGCAGTTCTTGCTATCTCTAACATCAACCATGGATTTTCTGTCTAGATTGGACAAAATCTTTTTTAAAAGTCTTGTAGATTGCTACATTTCCATCCTTCCACCAGTGTTCTCAACTTTGAAATATGGTCCTAAACCAGGTAACATTGTCTGAGTGGCCAGGACCCAGGTCCTCCCAGTAGAATGGGTGTGAAATCATCAATTGCTGAAGTAGGTCTACGAGCTGCTTATTGTTTCTAGACTTTGAGGAAACAACTTGATACACATTTATAATGTGTTTTTTGTCTCAGAACCAATATGAAAATAGATGTGTGAATGTTGTGGAAAAATGACCAAGAAATCTTGACATGTGACTACGCCAATATGTAGTATTTAAGTAGTATTTAGTATTTCCACATATAGATAGTGAACAGCATTTCCATATGGTATAAAATATAACAATCATTCAAACAAGATAGCGGATTGCACGCTCTTTAGGGAGGAATGATGTTTGCCAGTAAAACATTACGTTTCAAATGGACAGACAATGCATAATTTTGTGTGACAATTAATCATTAAGAGCTTATTTCAATCCTAGATTTCTTCAAATACTCTGGAGCAAAGCAATAAAACAATAATTTGGAAGGACCAGGAAATATTCAAATTTTCAAAAGTGAAGGAAAAAAGAAGACATCTTTTTCAAGCCCACCGACTTCCACAGCTACCTAGACTACACCTCCTCTCACCTACCTTCCTGCAAGAATGCGATCCCCTACTCCCAATTCCTCCGCCTCTGTCGCATCTGCTCCCAAGATGGGGCATTCCACTCCTGAACGTCCCAGATGTCCTCTTATTTCAAGGACCGCAACTTTCCCCCTTTGGTGGTCGAAAATGCTCTCGACCGCATATTTTGCGTTTCTCGCACATCCCCTCCCCGCAACAAAAACGAAGACAGAATCCCCCTTGTCCTCACGTATCACCCCACTAACCTCCACATCCAACTTATCATTCTCCGCCACTTCTGCCTCCTACAATCCGACCCCCAAGCAAAGATATATTTCCCTCCCCACCCCAATCTGCCTTTCGTAGGGACTGGTCTCTCCGCGACTCCCTCGTCCACTCCACACTCTGCACTAGCCCAACCACTCCCGGCACCTCTCCCTACAAGCACAAGAAGTGCTACACCTGCCCCATACCTCCACCCTCACCTCCATTCAAGGAACCAACCAAACCTTTCATATCAGGCAGAAGTTCACCTGCACATCTGTCAATGTGGCCTCCTGTACATCTGAGAGACCAAGCGGAGGCTCGGAGACTGCTTTGTAGAGCATCTGTGCTCTGTTCACAAAAAACGACAACACCTTCTGGTATTGAACCATTTCAACTCCCTGGGTGACATGTCCATCCTACGCCTCCTCCAGTGTCACAATGAGGCCACCCACAAACTGGAGGAGCAGCACCTCTTATTCTACCTTGGGAGCCTACAGCCCAATGGCTTAAATGTGGACTTTACCAGTTTCAAAATCTCCCCAACCCCAGCCTCATCCCATGACCGACCTTCCCTTTCATCCCCGCCTCCTTGACCTGACACAACCTGTCCATCTTCTCTCCCACCTATCCACTCCTCCCACCTCACTGACCAATCCCCACCATTTCCTACCTGCACTCACCTATCATCATCCCACCTTTCCTCCCCAGCCCCACCCCTCCTCTCTCTATATATTTCTGTGCTCCCTTCCCCCCCCACTATTTCTGAAGAAGGATCCCAAACCGAAACGTCAACTTTCCTGCTCCTCTCACGCTGCCTGGCCTGCTGTGTTCCTCCAGCTCCACACGGTGTTATCTCTGACTCCAGCATCGGCAGTTCTTACTATCTCTGCCAAAATATCTGCAAGGTTAATGACATTTGGCGTCATTTATAGACAATGGTATAGCACCTTCAGGCAAGGGACTGACGCACAGCTAAATATGAATATTCAGAAGTTGCTGTCTGTATTGTGACACCGCCCTCACCATTAGACTCAGCTAAGTGCCATTTTGCTGTCTATCTTACCATTGATGTGAATCGAATATCATGACTTGCTGTATCCTCATGTTACATGTGAACTAAATAGCACAAGTAATGTATTAGCTAGATGCTGCATGGTAGTGCACAAGTCAGTCTTTTTGTTACTGTATATCGGTGGCCATGCAAAAAATTTAAAAGGCCCACTGCCCATACACTTTTATACCCTTTTAACAACGGCAGTAATTAACACTGATATCACAGTAAACCACAGAGGCACTGAAAATTAACTACTGAAAGACTGAACCTTATTCCTCCAGGATGCCAGTTGTTTCAAGAGATTTTAGAAATGTTATCTTTAAAAAGCTCTTTCTCTCAATCCAAAATTTCCTTCCTTCCTTCTTTTTCTATACCCAATTTGACAGTGAATTCACACCCTATGATTCATGCCTTGGTTTTTCCTCTTTTACATTTTTCATTCCTTAGATCAAATAGGAAGCTGGTGATCGACCGTTAACTCAAATCCAAGATTATGTATCTTTCGCATTGCTGTTACCAACTCTCACTTCGAGAAACTTGGTGGGCAATTTTGTTTCAGCTGATAGGAGCGAGTAGTAGTCTAAACAACAACAGATGTCACTAGGTACCCTGTCTACCTATAGGTCTGGTCCATTATTTCTGCATGTTTCCCATCTTCATGCAGGGCATTAAATGCAGCATTTTTTTCAGTAATTTAGTTCACAAATAATGGATAAAACTTTGCAGGAAGACATGTTTAAGTGTATTAAACAAACCTCTGAATTCTTGAGGGCTTAGTCAAAGTGAATAGGCATTTGAGAGAGAAAAAGGAAAAATACCTTCACAACGCGATCACTTCCACAGGTTACCATCAATCCTCTTGTGTTATCCAGATTCATGTGTGCAATATTATGTTTGCCTTCATGGAACGTTGCCAAAGAGGTTCGACTGTAATATTAAATATTGCAATAAATACCTTTCAGAGTCAGCATCAATAAAAACAGTTGACAGAATATTCCTGTCCGACAAATTTCTACTGAGATTATTTGCACATAAGTGGCACTCGAGCTTTTCTTTTGATCTATCCCCTTTCCTAGTTTCCCAGTGCTCTTCAGCTGGCTCAGCTTTCATGCCCACAGTTGCCCTTATTCGAGTTTAATACACCAGTAAAGGGACTCAATCGTCTTCCTTTCAAACTAAATGTCAAATCCACTTATATTGTAGTTGCTGTTACCAAGGGGTGCCTTTAAACGGAGGTCATTTAATTAATCAATCATGTTGCTTTACACAATACCAAATCTAATAAAACCTGTTCTGTGCTTGGTTCCAGAAAATGTAGCTCTAAGAAAGTCTCTCAAAAGGATTCTATGAACTCATCATTCAAGTGACTACAGCAAACTGATTTTTCTAGTTCATATGTCGATTAAAATTGTCCATGTTTATTGCCATCTCTATCAAAAGCACCCTGTAATCCTTTTGTTTATTTTGTCCCACATTGTAGTCATTGTTTGAGGGACTATATACCACTCCCACCAGTGACTTCTTTCCCCTTCTATCCCTAAACTCTACTCAAACCAAGTCTACATCCTGATCTCCTGAACCAAGATCACCTCTAACTATTACACCATCTCATCCCTGATTAACAGTGTCGGCTCTCTACCATAAAATAGCTTCCTATTCTTCTTGAATGTAACATACCCTTTGATGTGCAGGTAAAGGCTATATCTGAACACATGTAGTATGCACAAAGTTAAATGAATTGATAGCAAATGTTGAAATAAATATGATCTGAGCCAATCATTGTCATCATACTGTCATATTTCTGCAAAGGCTATCACGTCATATTTGACTGAATTGAAGCACATTGTTAGGCATGCTATGTGCGTTAATTAAAAGTTCAATCTTATCTTTGGAACATATACACCTCACAACACACACATCATTTTTGATAAATGATTTGCAAGCTATTTCCATAAAATGGCTCCATTGCCTTTATTCAAAATATTCCCTAATGAAGCTAGGTGAACTCAGCAAACAGTTCAATATCATGCCTAAGCATCTAGGCCACTTAACCACTGTAAAGTAAACTTGGAGTTAGTGAAAATGTCCCACTTGTGGCTTATAGCAAGATTAAGATAATGGATCATTCAAGCCCATGGAAATCATTTCTTATATTTTCTATAGTCTCTTTGTAGCCGAAATCCAATATCACACATTGATCTTCCTTGCAAATAATTAAGATCAACACAGGGAAATGCAACAGTGCATTTCTTTCCTTCCTTCCTTTCCAAAGTGACAGCACAGCATAGAACACCACCTGGCTCCGTGGGGAACATAACTGCAAACACAGGCTTTGGGATTTAGCTGTTGTACACTTTGGCTCTAATATGCCACACCAGGCAGTCACCAACAGGAAAACATTCCTATGCTGAAAAGCAGTTTTAGTCCTTACAAAATGGGACTCTGCCAATAAACCCACTTCATTACAGAATGAAAAATGAGAATATATAGAGAAAACAATTTTAACATTGAAGGTTTCGGATTCAGAGAAAAAGACATTTTACGCAGAGATAATTTTTACTAAAAATCAACCTAAATTATTGGTGACGTCTTTCCCAGCATTTCGGGAATATTAAATCAGACATGCCTAATTTCTAACTTCAGCCTGCAAAACGAATACATCTGGATCCTAATCAAGCTGCAGGCACACAAATCAGAACCAGTAAGTAGGATTCAGATAGTGTTGTTAGTCTCCTCTAATTCATTAGATGACCTCACTTAAAAATAAATGCAATTTATTTTTAATCTATTTCATACTTCACTTTGAAGAGTCAATAGGAGAAGCAATCTTAACAGTCAAATGAAATAAGAATACTCACTCTTCATCCTTGACTGTATCAAAGCAGTCATTACAGACTCGCACCAGAAACTCAAAGCCCATCGCAGGGTAGGTAGTACGTTTAGTGCTGCATTTCCCACAAATAGCTTTGCCACACTTTCTGCAGTGATGCTAAATGTAAAATAAAAGATTTGAAGAAGAAAACATTGAAATAAATTTCCAATCTCTCTCTCTAGTACAAAGTAGCAATGTTCTTCAAGCAATGGTTGAAATTTAAACAAGACTTTGAATCTACTCTTCTATTCAATTTCCAAACAGAAGTATTATAATTGACATTCAGCTTCACTCTAATTTAATTTAGATTCATTTAAAAAGAGTCTCTCTCTATTTTACAGACTAAATTTAAAACTTACAGGTGCAGAAGATTTGGAAGGATCTTCTAACACTGTAGGAAGTCAGACTCAGTGACATGGAATGATAAAGGATTAGACTCTGAAATGAATCTGTCATCAGAAGGGCACATCTTTCAAATTTTTAAGATTTGTCCATGTCAAACTGTCCAGCCATGGAAAGGACGCGAGTAGGCAAAATTAGACATTGTGGTGATGTCAAGGGATGCGGGGAAAGAGGACGTGTGATAGAAATCTACTTTTTTATTTTCAAAAATATATTTTATTCATTAAAATCATCTATAAGTACACACAAAGATTCTAAAATGTATCTGTACAATTTTTGCAGAGGAAAATATAAACAACACACTAGAATTTTGACGTTTTTCAGAGCTTCTCTACAGTTGCAAAAATCAAAGACATTTCCTACTTAAGCAGGTGACTATGTCCATTTTGAGGCACCAAGACAGTCTGACAATTGAACAAACCCTCATTATACTTTGGCAGAAAGATGGTTGCCTTTCCCCAGTGCGCCTTGGCAGCAGCTGCCCCAAGCTTCAGTGCATCCCTCAGCATATAGTCCTGGGCCTTAGAATGTGTTAGTCTGTAACAATCAGGTCAACTCTTTACACTGGAAGACCAACAAGATTCGGGCAGACCAAAGAGTGTCCTTCGCTGATTTGGTGGTCTTCCAGGTACGATCAATGTTTGTCTTGGTGTGCGTCCCAGGAAACAGACTGCACAGCAGCACGCTGCTTGGGACAAACCTTGCCAAAAACTGCTGCATCTCTCTCCAGACCTTCTTTGCAAAGGCAGGTTCCAGCAGATGTGTGACAGTCTCATCACCAGTGCAGCCACTTCAAGGGCAGAGTGAGGTGGCACACAGAGACACGGCATGAAGGAAGGACCTGAATCGGCAGTGCCCCTCTCAGCAACAACCAAGCAATGTCTTGGACAACAAGGTGCAGGGCTGGATGAACACAGCAGGCCAAGCAGCATCATAGGAGCAGAGGGGCTGACGTTTCGGGCCTAGACCCTTCATCAGAAAAGGGGGAGGGGAAGAGGGTTCTGAAATAAATAGGGAGAGAGTGGGAGGCAGATAGAAGATGGATAGAGGAGAGGATAGGTGGAAAGGAAACAAACAGGTCGAAGAGGCGGGGATGGGGCCAGTAAAGGTGAGTGTAGGTGGGGAGTTAGGAAGGGGATAGGTCAGTCCAGGGAGGACGGACAGGTCAAGGGGGCGGGATGAGGTTAGTAGGTAGGAGATGGAGGTGCGGCTTGAGGTGGGAGGAGGGGATAGGTGGGAGGAAGAACAGGTTAGGGAGGCAGGGACGAACTGGACTGGTTTTGGGATGCGGTAGGGGGAGGGGAGATTTTGAAGCTTGTGAAATCCACATTGATACCATTGGGCTGCAGGGTTCCCAAGCGGAATATGAGTTGCTGTTCCTGCAACCTTCGGGTGGCATCGTTGTGGCATTGCAGGAGGCCCAGGATGGACATGTCGTCTGAGGAATGGGGAGCTTGTTGGAAAGTTCTGGTAATGAGGTATTCTGCCAAATGACCTTGACAGTATCAACTCTCTCCTTTTCCCGCAGGGTCTCGAGAAGATTACTTGCTGACCACTTCCTGATGGTCAAATGAGCTTTTCTTTGCAAATTTTTCCATGAGAGACAGGTAACGGACAGGAATGGTCCAACTACCTGGGATGTTCCACACCAACGAGGCCAGACCAATTCTTCATAACACTGGGGACAGCTAGAACCTTAGTTTGTAGTGACACTTGGTGTTTCTGTACCAACTGAAATATAACAGGAGATGTCCTATCTAAGCCCTCACCACTAACTTCTGTGGGAATTGCCCACGAAATTTGAACTTCCAATGGAAAATTCTCCTCCTCCCCACAAAAGTATCCAACTTTGACCCTGAGACTTTGGACAGTTCACGTACCTGGATTGTTACCCAGTAGAACGTTAGGTAGAAAAATGCCTAGTCCAACTGCTTAGTAGCCACTGAAATGACCCCCCAATTACTCACACTGACCCACCAAACTCACTCTTCAACCTTGACTATCCACTCACACCCGAACACCTGTCTACCTAAACCCTCCAAAAAGCCCTCCTGGCTACGCAAGCTGCCCATCACTCCAACCTAACCTGACTTAACTAACACGCATTCCTCCAACCCATATGCTAACCTGTATTCTTCTCATCCAAATTTACTCTCTAGAGTTTATCTTTCTCTTTACCCTTCACACATTGATCCACTCACCCATTCATAAACATAGAAACACAGAAGACAGGAGCAGGAGACAGCCATTCGGCCCTTCGAACCTGCTCCACCATTCTTCACGATTATGGCTGATCGACCAACTCAATAGCCTAATCCTGCTTTCTCCCCATAACCTTTGAACCCATTCGCCCCAAGTGCTATATCTAGTTGCCTTTTGAATACATTCAATGTTTTGGCAACATTCACTCCAAACCTTCAAATTTACCATATGGCTGCTAGTGCAATAAAAGACAGTATGTCAGTTCTTCCCCATGACTCTATGACACATTGGCGTTCTTCAAGGCATACTGTGCTTCCAGGCTTGGAAGACAGGGCAAGAAACGAGCAGCAGCAACAAGGTAAGTGAAAGTTTAAGCAGACCGGCAATTCGAAGATGACTGCTGCTGTTTGAAAGATCTGAGCCATCATTTTCCTCCTCAAGTTATTATGTTTCACAACCAATATATTGGAAATCTCAAGTTTCCTGGTGATCATGATAGGGTTGTGAAGTTACAATTTTAGAAGATCACCTGTTTTACATAGTGTTTCATCAAATAATACTATAAAGTTGGAGTTATCTCCTTTACAGATTTTGGATTAACATTGGTCAGCATTAGCTGGTTAAAAAATCCTTGGGATTACATTTTTTTTTAAAAAAGATCTCAAACTTTTCGGTTTCAGTTCAATCTCCGAGGCTCTTGAGTCATGAACTGAACTGTGCTGATAATTTAATCTCTGGGACTCCAAATCATAAACCTATCTTGGTCACCATGATTTTTGGGATGTAGCTCTACAGACTGCCAATTATCAAAACCAGATTGTCTTTCTAGTTGAACAAGGTTTTTCTCTTGCATTTAAACTGGAAAGTGGTCATTTTCTTATTAATCTTAAGCCCTTCATTTTACAGAATGACTACAATTGAGTCTCATGTGCATCTTGGTATGACAGCTGCTCAGGATTGCAAGATTTTGTACAAAAATTAAGGAATGCCCAGCTAACAGACCAATTATTTAACCGTTAGCTCATGTTTTCTGGTTCTAACAGGCACATAAAGGGTTTCATCATTATATTGAAGACTGTTCTTGAAAAATACCCAATTTGATACCTCTCTACAGGAGCTAAAACAGTTTTTTGGTTTCATCACTTTCTGGGAAAGGAGACGTCTGCCTGAACTCAGTTCGTTAGTCTTGGATTTCAGTAGGTTGTAGTTTCTCTTGTTAATGTCCCTTTTGTTTCAGTTACAATGGCTGTTTTGTTTCCTCCTCTGACTAAATGGATTTTCTGCAAAATTTTTTTTTTGGGAAATGAATGATGCCTTTTTCTCCTCTTCCTCACTGTGACACACCAGTATTGCTCACCCTGGGTGAGACCCCTATGAGTTGTATAATGTTCGTAACACTTTTCAAAAGGGAAATGCCTTCTGGTTTGGCTTCTGCCCTGTATTTGACAATTGTTAGAATATTCAGTGTTTCTTATTTAGATGCAGTCTGAACAGACTGATAGCTTGATAGACCTCCTTGCACCTGTGACATGTCCACTGGATATTTTTTGTCACTTTTAAAGAGTTATATACACTAGCTATTCCAGTTGTTATGTCTGGACCCATTAAGAATGTTATCTTTACCCCTCAATCAGATATGAACATTATTGGAAAGATCTGCACTTACTGTCCATCCCTAATTATCCTTGGGAATGGGTGGAAAGGCACCTTTTTGAAACACTGCAACCTGTATGGTGTAGATACCACCGAAGGTGCCATTTGGTCATGGTCTCCAAGTTTATTTTGGTTCAATGTGTGGTTAGTTAGGATGTTCCCCACCTCTAAATGTCCAGATGGCAGTTAAGAGTCAACCATATTGCTGTGGGTCTGGAGTGATGTATAGACCAGAGCAGGTAAGGATTACAGATTTCCTTCTCTAAAAAGGACATTAGTAAACCAGATAGGTTTTTACAACAATCAACAGTGATTTTTGTTCAGCACTAGACGAGCTCTTTATTCCAGACTTCTTTTGAATTCAAATTTCACCACCTATCGTAGTGCAATTCGAACCTATGGTCTTCAGAACATTAGCCTGGGATTTTGTTTTACTAGTCTAGTGACATTACCACTACGTCGCTATTGCCCCATTTAACTCAGTAAAGGAATGGCAGAATACTTCTAATTCAAGATGATGTGTGACCTGGAGGAAAAATTGCAGGTGACGGTGGTATTCCTGTGAATCCACTGTCCTTGATTTTCTAGGCAATAAGTGCTACAGGTCAGGAAATACTGTTGAAGGAGACTGCTACAATGCACCTAGTAGATGCAACCACAGCGTGCCAGAATGAATGTTTAAAGTCATAGATACCATTTAAGTAATGTGCTTTGACTTAGATGGTGTCAGCTTCTTCACACCTGAGCTACACTCATCCAAACAAGTGGCGAACACCCATCAAGCTCATGACTTGTGCCTTTCAAGTGGCGGACCAGTTCTGGAGAGTGGGCAGACAAGTTATTTCCTGCATTAAAAAAAAATTCTCTAATGTGCTGTAGTAGCCAGGATGTGTGTGTGTGTAAATAGTCCAGTTAATTTTCTTGCCATTGATAATCCAAGGGTGTTCACAATGGGGATTCAGTTATAGCCCTACCATTGAATATCACAGGGAAGTAGTCAGACTCTGCTAGAGATGAACATTATGTGGCACACATCTAGCAAAAATGTTACCTGGCACTCATCGGCCCAATCCTGAATGCTGCTCAGATCTGGCTGCACTCAGGACAGACTATCAATATTGGGACATTACATATGGAACCAACACTGTACAATCATCAAATATCCTCTCTTCTGATCTTATGATGGGAGGAAACCAATGTTAAAGCAGCTGAGGATGGTTGGACCTAGAATACTGCCCTGAGAAACTGTTACACCAATGTCTTGGTCTGAGGTGATTGGCCTCCAATGATTGCAACAATCTTTCTTTGTGCTAGATAGGATTCTACCATTGAAGAATTTACCAACCCCCACCTCCTACCCCTAGCCCTTGATTCTCAACAACTTAAAACAGCAGTTTTGAAAGGCTTCTTCATGCCGCACCAGACCCAATGCTCCTTGATGTCAAGGGCAGTTACTTTCACTTCACCTCTAGAAATAAGCTCTTTTGGTCGATGTTTGAACCAAGAACAATTAATGAGGTCTGCAGAGGACGGTGCAGGTAAAAACCAAAAAGTGAGTAGTAGCCTTCTCAGTTTTTATTTCCTCGGTTGCACTAAGGCTTGAATTGTTTATTGTTTGGGCTGGAATGGTGAGTGGTGTCCCCAGGCTGTTCAGTACCAATCTACAATCTCTTTACTGTAATCACCCCTTGATTCTCCCATTTGCAAGGATGGAGGATTCTTGTTAGGACTTAAGCACCACAGTCTTTAAAAGAACCCAGGATGGATGCCACCTACATCAAGTTAGGAAACATTGCAAGAAAAACAAGGTTAACAAGATCAGCCAAGGTTCCAGAATCCACTGTAACGTTGGGCTAGAACAAACTGAAGAGGTATCTAAAGTTATGCTCCCCTGTCAGTATTCAATAGCTTACTGAAAACTGATGAGACAATGCAATGTGCAAACAACATCATGATACATTCTAACATTCAGTACAAAATTATCCTCCTATCTGAATGCTTCAACCGTTGCACACACAATGGTTGCATGCTACATTTCACCTTCATATTTGCTACCCAGTCCATTTTTTTTTTATTTTAAACCTTTCTTTACGAAAGAAAAACCAACCCAAAATAAGCTTGGAAGATCAATGGTACACTGTGGATTCCGAAACCTTAGAGAGTGCTGACCCAAAGAAGCAGCCCTCAACATCTCAATAAAGAAAAATAAGGTCCAGGAGGGTATATGTGGGCCAAGGGCAATAGTTTGAAAGTCCTGTTCTAAACCACACATGCACCCCATTGACTGCTTTGGTTCAAGAAAGCAGCTCACCACCATGTTCTCAAAGGTAATTAGAGATGGGTAATAAATGCTGGCAAAACCAGTAATGCCCAAATCCCATGAATGAACCCAAAGAATTCCGAAAACAGAAATATTTTGAAACAAGCATTTACAGTGTCAATTATCTGACAAAGACGTCAAATATTTTAGATTTCCACCACATACCTGCCGCAAACCAAGGCTCTTTGTGTCCCACATCTGTTTGAAGTTCCAGAAGAACGGCTGTTTACAGTTTTGACAAGAATCACTTTCCTGCCATTGCGGAGCCTGTAAAGCAACAATTATAAGTTGGAGGAAAACTGTAGCAAACAAATGGATGTTGTCGCTTAGCAGTTAGAAGTATTCAAGGCAAGTCAGAGACGAGAATAACTATCATTTCATCATCAATGCAACATAACTTGGCGTACTCAGTTTGGTTAGGTGGGCTTTTTATTTATATTCTGTGGGTAAATTGCAGGAAGAGCCAAAAGTGAGGAAATTCAGTAGAATCCTGTGGCAGAAAACTAGCAGAGGTGGCTTCTGCCCCATTTTCCTGCCACAAAAAGTTACGTGCTCCATTATGCTCTGAAATAACACTGAAAACAGTGAGAAAATTCTCCAATACTCTCTCAGCTGCAGACAGTAAGCTAATTCAATCTTTTCTTATTAGACATTCTCCTTAAACATAGATTGCTCTTAATCAGTGCTCATCTCTACATTACTCCCATTCTTAACAGCCCTTTTTACAGTGTAACGAATGAAACTGTTGCTACTCCAAATATGACATTACACAGATTCAGCAGAGCTTCCACTGATCTAACTAAATATACCAATATTTGATTAGCTTGTATCACTGGCAATATCCAAGTATAATGTATCATTTTGTACAGATTTTTATAAATTTAACCACAGGAATGTGTTAAAACAGTCACGCCAAATTAAAAATGCATGGGAAAAGTTTAAGATTCCAGGCTAGATGGAGTCCAAATGGCTGCAAATCACTGATATGGTAGAGTCCAGTAGGATTTCAACAAGTATATTGCTGATCAGAACTTAAAACATTTGTTTTGTTTATGTGTAGAGAATAAACATCGGAGGTTCATACAACATATAATTAACTCTTCAAAATGAACTGATAATATATAGCAAGCAAACAGCCTTGAGAATGGTTGAAAACAAGATAGGGAAACAGGTGATTAATAAGAAAATGAGTTCTTTAAAATTTGAAAGAAATAGAACCACGAAGCAAACCAGAAATATCAATACCAGATTTACTGGTAGTACCCTAAGAGCAAGCCATTGATTGGCTGGGCAGGCTTGCACTGTCCTTGGGGACAGCAGCATTGTGTGTTAATTGAGAATGCTGAATTTGAATTGCAAATTGCAGAAAGTGAACATTATCAGAAAACAGATTTTAATTAAAAAACATCTGGTTTCTGACTTCCTTTGCTCCAGAATTGAACAAAGTCGATAATGTAGAGGTAGGCCGACAGATAAATCTGTAAACAGGACAACCTTAACACAAGCCGAACGGATATTTCAGTGCTGAATTCCGTACTAAACCCAGGTCTCTTTCTTAATATTATTGTGCCAATTCTTCCTCCTTTTGGAGAAAAGCCGAGAGTGGGGATCATGATACAACCAGCAAAATAAGGGAAGGGAACAGACATGGTTAAAGTAAGCGAGTTATATAAACTGGACAAAAAGAAGCATAAAGCTGGAGAAAACTAACTTAAAAATACACAAATCCTGATTAGAGAAAACAATTTTCCACCTACGAGGCAATACACACTTGGAATATAGTCCCTGAGAAAGTAGTTCATTATGACGGGGTTGGAGAGGAATGGTGGGAGTGTTGGGGGAAAGGAGTTAAGTTACGCCTCGAAAAAGTGAGAAACTCTCAGTTATCAAGAAGGAAGGGAATTAAGGTTTAATGCGAGGCTAACATCAAGGAAGGTAGGAAAAGGTGTTTAGTTTTTTCATACAATGGGATGTGAAGAGGTGGCTGGTAATAAAGGAATCCTCACTGGAGGCACTAGATAAATCAGATAATGCAATCATGATGTTAACAGTTTCTTTCCCCACAGTTGCTGCTTGATCCAAATATTTCTTGCATTATTTTGTTACTGAATGATTTTTCTTGAAACCTTGATTTTACATAATTTTTAAGATGTCTCCTTAGTTTCTACCACCTTTCCTACTTTAGCGTATAAATTTAACTTAAGCATCCAGGTCATTTATATGACTAACAAAAAGCAGACACCAAGCACAGGCTTCCATGGCATATCGTTCAACAGCTCCTTAGAGTCAGATATTAAAACCGTCACTCAAATGAATTGCACTTTACTTTCAACGCCATGAGCTTAATTAAAAAAACTTTTCTCCTTGATCTTTATGTAGAAAGCCTTCTAAAGGTTGAAAAATATTAAAAGGGAATTCATTATCCACATAGCAAACATTCATAACAATATTGTGCTGTTTGAGAAAATATAAACGTTTAGTTTGGAGAAACAGAGTCTCTTTGTTTGAAAAGCAAAAATATTAACAGAGTAGTTGATAAAGATGTTTAAAAATAAATGAAGAGGTGAAGCAGAGTCGTTTGATTACAATGGATTGTTTTCACTAAACGGGAGGTCTAAAACTAGGGGGGCATATAGGATAGAGTAAATGTGCTTGATTTAGAAGCACAGAAAACAGGCCATTCAGCCCTTCAAGCCTGTTCAACCATTCATCATGATCATCGTTGATTATCCAACTCAACAGCCTGTTCCAGCTTGTCCCCCACATCCTCTGAGCCCTTTAGCACCAAGTGCTATGTTCAACTCCTTCTTGAAATTGTGTGTTTTGGCCTTGACTCTGTGTTAGTGAATTTTGCCTGATCTCAGTCCTAAATAGTTTACCCTGTATCCTTAGACTGTGAGCCTTGATTCTGGATTCCCTGCTCATTGTGATCATCCTTCCTAGACAGAGGAAACGCAGTCCTGTTAGAATTTTATAGGGTTCAATGAGACACCCCCTCATTCTTCTGAGCTTCCATGAGGAAGTGGACAATACTTCAGAAACATGGTCACTCTCTTTTAAACATACATTCATTGCCTCTTGTTTGGTATGCTATAGAAGTACACGTGGAATAAACTCTAATAGAATGGTTTCCACTCTTTATTCTCGTAGTGAAGTTAAGCTAATTACTCCATTGTTACCCAGCTCAGATCTGGCAGTCTTCTTACAAGTCTAAGGACCAAATTTTTCCATTTTACAGCAAAATGTTTTTGGAGAGTGAAATTCATGGTGCACCATCTGCCATGTCCCAAGTTTATTCTTCACTGCTCTTCATCTCAATAGTTATGCAACTGGCTTCTCGGTTGTTCATCTGTAGAACCATGCAGCAGGACAGGCAGATGTGCTCACTGCTGCCAGGACTTTGTGCTATTTGGCACTACTTTTAAACTCCAGCTCCACAGCATTTTGGACCATTTTCACACTCTTAGCACTCCTGAGGACAGGATCCAGAAACGCAGGTTAACTCCAACAGGCAGTACTGATGGTCAGTGTGATGGAAAGGAGGTAACTACGTACTCCTGCTGACATGCAAAGGAGACCGCGCCACCATGCTCAGTTAGCCTGAACTAAGGTAGCAGCCCAGGTCAGTGCAGTGTGCCCACGGAAATGCAGTACACAGTGCAGGGGAAGGATCACGATTTTCATAGAATCCCTATAGTACTGAAAGGGGCTATTTGGCCCATCAATTTTGCATCGACCCTCCAAACGGTATCCCACCCAGAACCAGCCCACTCTATCCCTGTAACCCCACATTTACCATAGTTAACCCACCTAGCCTGCATAACCCTGGACACTACGGAACAATTTACCATCGCCAATCCACCTAACCTGCACATCTTTGGAGTATGGGAGGAAACCAGACCACCCAGAGGAAACCCAAGCACCCATACCTGGAATTGAGCCTGGGTCCCTGCCGCTGTGAGGCAGTGCTAACCACTGAGCAACTCTGTTTATTTTTCTCTTGGGCAGCACTTTTTGCAGAGAAAGAAACAGAGTTAGCACTTTGAGTCATCTGCTCTGAGGGACAGTCACATCCAATTCGAAAGATTAACCTTTCCTCTCTCCACCAATGCTGCCAATCCTGTTGAGTTTCTCAAGCATTTGGTGTTTGTTTCAGATTTCCAGCATCTGCAATACTTTGCTTTTATTTGCATAAAGAATGGTTACATCTTGTCCACCTTTAGATAATTCATATTCAACATCTGCTCATTTCAAACAAATAAATAGATCTAGATAATTTGAAATTTGACTGGATGCATGGTATATTTCACATGATAAAGGTATTTGAGCAAACAGTAAAGTTCATTACCTCTTCTCTCTGAACATCCATGTTCCAAACTACAATACCCCCATCAGCAGCACAGGAAATCAGCTGCCGTGTTAGTTGCAAGTAGCAGAGAGATTGCACTTTGTCACTGTAAACAAATCAGAAATCTGTTAAACATGAAGACTCCTATTAGTAAAATATGGACCTACTGAATTCAGCTAGAGCATTTTTATTAAAGTAGTTTTCGGCAGTGTCAAACAGGCACTGTCAGATAGGCTAAAGAGTCTCCACCATATACACTAACTTTATTAAAGGTTATTTATTCCTCTTTCAGTGGTTTAACAATGATTTCATGTAGACTTTGACCCCTTTAATGCAAAGGCTGTACCATTGCTAATTATTTCAGGTAGAGATTTCTGCAATCAAGCTATTAGTTTGATGGATTAAACTAGGTTTATGCATAGGTACAACTCTGAATAGGGACACAAAATCGGATCTTTTCTCCCCCCCTCCTCCCCCCCCAAAAGTTAAAATATCACAATAAATTTACTTAGAAATACAAAGATAATTAATTAACTATGGAGGATAATATCAAACATAAACTTAAACAATGTTCATAATATGTTAGTTTTTTCAGTAACCTGTGCTAAATGTATTTAAATCAGTTCCACAAAAACAAAACCCTCAACTGAGAAAGTTAATTACATTTTAATTTGATTTGAAGACAGATTTAGCCAATATAATATCAATTTACATAAGCCGTCATCTGACAAAAACCAAAATGAAGCTACAACCTTTTTTTTTGTAAATTAGATATTTCTTTGGAAACAAAATTATGCACATAATTCCATACATGCTGATTTTTAGGGCAGGTATTTTAAAGAGCTGGTAGCACTTATGTCAAGTATCTACATCTTCCCATAATATAAGCCAATCTAAGCTAAATCAAGATGAAGGAATACCTCTAGGAAAAACATAACTATGAGATATGCATATTAGATTAGGAGTTGGAACATTGGGAGGGTGGAGAAACATTGTGCTAAAGTCCACCATCTGGCTTATGCCATGGTCTGTAGCTGGGCAAACAACCTGCTTGTCTGAAATATGGCCACTTTACGGGCAACTTACAACAGTTGCAGAATTCCAATGCACGGAGCTGGCACTTTAAAAAAAGACCACAACAGAACACTCAAAAATTGCACAGAACCATTTTCAAAAAGACACACTTGTTTGTAGCCAGCAAGGGGGTGGTGAAGAAAGAGGAAAAACCTTTTCACCCAGAGGGTGGTAAAGGGTTGTTAAGGCAGGAAACCTCAGAACCTTTAAAAAGTATTTGAGGTGTCCTAACATTCAAAGCTATGGACCTAGTGCAAGAAGATGGGGCTACTGTATTATTGGCATAATAGACTGGTTGGGCTGAACAGCCTGCTCTGTACTGTACGATTCTATGACATGAAGACTAACCTATTACTATTAACAATATGTATCCGCCTCTTTATAAATGTTAGCTGATCTATACTCATCCGTGCATATTGTCTGCGTTTAATAAGTCCTGCCTCTCTCAAATTCTGACGAAGGATCCCTGTCTAAAATACGAGCCCTGTATTTCTCTTTCAGATGTCTACAAATTAATTGTGTATTTCTAGCATTTCTTTTACTTTTGTTTAACAATTCCTAAGCTTGGAATTTCTAGTTATTTTGGATTGAGTCAGAAATCACGTGACCTCAGGTTATAGTCCAACAGGTTTACTTCAAATAACAAGTTCTCGGAGCACTGCTCCTTTGTCACGTGAAGTGACTTCACCCCGATGAAGGAGCAGCGCTCCAAAAGCTTGTAATTTCAAATAAACCTGTTGGAGTATTACCTGGTGTCATGTTATTTCTGGTTTTGTCCAGCCCAGTCCAACACTGGCACCTCCACATCGTATTTTGGATTGAACTGAAATAAAAATCTTCTTGGCTTGTGTCTTCTATTAATTCTTTTCACATAAAGCTGCCTCCTTGCATATCCTAATGTTTTTGCTGGAAAACTGCTTGGATATTCCGATAAGAGCACAAATTCCAGTCCAGTTATTTCACACAATATGATCCCAGTTGACAGCAATACTTGTCAGGTCAGTTCCCAGAGTGAGGCCTGGCTTCATAGACCATGACCTAGACATTCTGATGGCCAGATGGTTACTGGTGCAATGTAGACTGGAGTTGCACGTCAGGACCACATGGAATCCTTATCACAGTAGACTCCACGTGAATGCCTGGGAAATTAAAGTTATGATAGCCGGACCAGGCTATCCCCGACCCAAAGCGATACTCTCCCGACCACCTGCCTGACCCTGGCTCCAAACACGTTAGACCCAATCCACCTTCAAACTACATATGCTCTCATCCATTTAACTGGCATCCTATCCATCTAACACTTTACCCACCTCACAAACCTGGTGAGAGTGTTTGGGTATCGACCTCACTGATTTGGCACCTCACATTTACATGACCTACTTATCCTTTTACAGGATAAGAGGCTGGCTGTGTTGTTGAACATTCAAACCTCATAACAGCAATTAATTGCTGCAAAAGTACTTCTACAAAAATTTTCTGGATAGGGTTGCACTAGGGGGCCCCTACAGCAATCACCAGTGCAACGGCCATGTATTTTTACTTTTGCATCTTTAAAAACTGTGTGCTGCAACAAGGAACTGTTTTTAATTACAGGAATTGACTAGGATAGCTGCATAATTTGACAGCAAGGAAATTGTTACTTATTGTGAGTTCTGTTTTGCGGTTATGGGTTCCTGCATACAGACAATCAGGAGCCGAGGAGTTACTCGGAAATGAAGCGTAGTTGTCAGCTAAGTGAGCAGCTTGGAGCTGGAAACAGGTTACAGAGACACAGGCACTTAGAGAGAGAAAGAGACAGAAATGTGGGCTGCTGCTCTCCCCAGGATAAGCTGCCTGTTCTCAGGTGTTTAATTTGAAGAAAAGCAGTTATTTTTCTTACAGCAGCTACTGTGAGCTATGACTTTGGAAACTGATAAATCAGAGACACTTTTCAATGAATCGTTCTGTACTTCTTACAAGCCAGTGAATGATTCCAGAGAAAGGCAACTAAACATCAAAAGGCCTGGCTGACTGGAATCAAGAAGCAAAGACCACTGAACTGACTTTGCAAGTTTCTGTACTCCCGCATCTGCAAACTGCCCAATGACTGCGGGATGATTCTAACCCTGGATTAATGGGCTTCTGCCATGACACAATAACAGTTTTTTCTCTTCTCTGCACCAAACTATTTATCTCCAGCTGTACTCGAAGGTTGTAAACCCTTCCTGAACCAAAAACTAAAATTATGCTTTAAAAAAAAGTCTGTCCTTTGTTAGCTGCACAATCTAGAAATACAAACCAAACTTAAAGCTTTGCATCAGCCTTTCATTTTAGAACCAACATTCCCAAACAATAATATATTCTGATCATTCATCACAAGACTTTGTTATAAATGATAAAAAAATTTTTAAAAAATACTCATTGTAAAAATATCCAACATTAATAGCACTGGTCCATAAGACATAGGAGCAGAAATTAGGCCATTCGGCCCATCGAGTCTGCTCCGCCATTCAATCATGGCCGGTAAGTTCCTCAACCCCATTCTCCTGCTTTCTCTCCGTAACCCAGTTTAAAAGAGGTTTTATTTTGTTAAAAATGGTCAAATTAGAACAGAAATAATTGTACAATTGTGCATTTTCATTTTTAAAAAATGAAGTAGTTGTTTCCTAAAGTACAGGATAAAAATTGCATTAAGAGATCAGAAATATGATGTTTGTTAGAATATTAATACATTACTATGATTTGAAGATTTGGTTCTAGAAAAACTAGTAATCTGTTATAAAGAATTCTTGCAAAGTTCTTGTTTAGTAATTTCCCCTTATGGATCCTACCCAATGCAATGGGCCAAAACTAACAGCACCATTATTATTTCCCCACTACTTGGGTATCAGAACAATATTTTAAGATATGAAAGTCATTTTTTTTGGTGCCCTGAAGATTAATATTGGGAGTAGTAGGTGTAATCTACCTTGAAAAAAGGAAAAAAAGCCACATTTAAAAAGCGTAAATAATTTATATTAATTTATCTTCACAATCATATCAATTATATTTTCCATTTATCCAAAAACAGATATTTTGTTGAAGCTTTATATCAAGCACTCATCGGGACAGATGCAAGAATACCAACTTTCAAAGGGAACAACAATTTGTACTGCATGAGAAACAAGATTTATTGCTTGTTAAATGGATGCCAAATATTCAGTGAGTTGCTTTGGAGACTGTACCAGGGAACAATTATTTAAAACTATTGTTTAAGTTCAAATTGGTTGAGTTGTGCCATTAGGACTGCATGAACAGAGTCCCAACTACTGATCGAGTGTGTCAAACAGCACATTCCTTCAGCGATTCGAAATAGGCAGAGTGCTGACTTGACTCAACCAGTCCATGCTCGCTAATCTCAGAGTATAACGTCCAACTTTAGACCAAATTCTGCTAACGTGTTGTGCTCACCCCAAAATCCCAAATGTGCCGAGAATTAAATTGGTTGTTCATTTATTACTATCAGTTCGTTGACAATGCAATTCACTCGGGCTCCCTATAAGTTCATATCTTCATAGGCAAGATCCAGTCCTCTGCAGGCAAAAAGGAGTTTGCCAAGACACTGCACATTTTCCATTAAAGAAAAGCTTGAATTGTCCCACAAAGAGGGTACACTTTGATAACAATGTTCAGTAAAAATGTGAAACACAGAAGTTTAATATTTGTGTTTTCATCATGCAATGAAAACACAGCCATTATAGGCTTAATGGCCTCCATCTGTGCAATATTATTTTACAATTCTGAGGAAAAAATGACTGCCTTTGAAACGATGCTTAGTTATTCAAAGGGTAGGTGGAAGGACAGTATAAGGAAGAGACAGGCTGTCGACTTTTAGGCAGGTAAGGCACAAGGACCAATCAACTGAGTTACTTTTCTTCTGACAACTATGCTTTGTTGAAAAGGTTACCACCGCAACCTCACCAGACACTGAACAAAATGTTTGTAAATCCTGAGATTATGGTGACCGTTAGTGTTGATCCATAAATATATCACCCATTTAAAAATACAAGATGCCAGGGTTTGTGGGCTGGAAGAGATGGATCATAGTGGTGCAGAAAGAATAAACAATTTTAAAATGGAACAGTAAGAAGGACATGAAAAAGATGAGCTTGATGTCAGACCTATTAGGAATTTGGCAGGAGCTGATGGAGAGTGACTAGCTTTTTCCAGTCTAATTTGAGACTGGCAAGCTAAGAAGTGGTTGAAAGATTTTGTTCATCCATGTTTTTTTTCATTGATAGCTAAAAATACCGTATCCTGTCAAACAAGCTAGTTACTGAAAGTTATTAATCAAGCGTAACACAGAATTATTCAATTAACAACCATACTGCCTCAAATTATAGAGAAAAACCTCAAAGTGCTTTTATATAAAGTATTAAAAAAAGGATGTTAAGGCAATGTTGGAAATATTAGCAGCAAATAGTAGCTTGGTTAGAAATGGATTTAAAAGAAAGGTGGCACAGAGGGGGAAAGAAGTCAGTGTCAGAAGACAGATGAACCAACCTAAGATTGTTATGTGCATTGATATTTGCTCTTCAGGACTTACGTCATTCTGATGTAGGGATAATAAGGGAGACAGTGATAGTGGTACCATCACTGCATTAGTAACGTAGAACTGCAGACTAATGTTCTGGTTACATGGGTTTGAATCCAGCCATGGAAGATGGTAAAATTTGAACTCAATAAAATCTGGAATTAAAAGCTGGCTTAGTGGCCTAACCATTGTCATTAAAACCCATCTGACCCACTTTAAGGTAGGAAATCTGCCGTCCTTGCTTCGTCTGGTCTACAGGCGAGTCCACAGTCACAACAGTGTGGTTGATGCTTAACTGGCCTCTCAATTGGCCCAGACAGCAAATCTGTTCAAGGGCACGATCAAGGGTGTCATGGCAGATTTTATTTTAAATTAAAATTCCCACAAGTGCAATTCTACTGTTAATCGTGGCTATTTCATGATGACTTAAAAGGAAACCGAACGAACTGCAGATGCTGTAAATCAGGATTAAAAACAGAAGTTGCTGGAAAAGC